CAAAAAAATGCTGTTTTGAGAAAATAGAAGGTAACGTTTTTGGACCCTTGTTCAGTTTCTTTAAAAGACAAGGAGAGTTCTATATAACCAAACAAATATACACACCAGTGAGACCAAACTTCTCCATTAGGTAGGGCAATGCCCACTTTTGGTTTACGTCAAGATTTCAGGGAAACCCCAAAATCTGGGTTAGCCCGCTTGTCCTTAAACGCGACCATATTATGGTCATATGAGAGCGTAGGACGAGAGCCGGTTGTTTGGGGAGGGGGGTCGTGGGGAGGAGGCGAGGGGAGGAATGTAATTATACACATCACAACCCCAGAATAACGAGACTCTATCTCAGTTACGCTCACTTTTGAAATATCGGAGTTCATGGTTTTCACCACACGTAAAGAACAAACTGAATAATTATAATTAATAGGTCAAGATGCGGTGGAATAAGTCGCTCCTCAACTTTTGGGCTAATGGAGTTATTTGTCTCATCTCAAAGAACGTTCTTCTGTCCTGCTTTTTGGAGAGAAAAATTCCCATCTATCTCAAATAAAACTTGAGAAATTTGTGATTGAAGAAAGTGAGATTACCTGGTGTCAGAGGTAAAATTAGCGAGAAAATAACCGTCAAAATTTGACGATTTCCAAAGCTTGAGAGCCCTGCTTTGAAAACTGCAAATTAATTACATTTTTTCGATGTTTTTCGTCAGCGTTTTTCCAATGAAATACACACAGAAATGTGTTTTTAAATTAACATAAAGGGCAGTAAGCAACATTTTTTTAAAATTCGATAGAAATTGCCCAACGTGTGAGAAAAATTTCAACGTCGACTTCTTCAGTTTCATTATTAAAATTTTGACGAGCACCTGATTTCACCACGCTGTGAAACATTATAATTATTATTTATGGTTCATGAGATCATCGTTTTATCGTGGAGGTTTAAACGCCTTTTTCAATACCGTAAAGTTTTTTAAGTGGCATGGCCTCCGAATTCAACGTCCATTTCCGATAGGAATGGGGCAAGGATGGAGAGCCTTAAAACTCCGCAAAACGTTCCAAGTTTAAAACGTCTGTTACGGATTCGAACCATGGCTATTTATTATTATTATTATTATTATTATTATTATTATTATTATTATTATTATTAAA